ATGTAGCCAATCTTATTTTAATTCATTCGACATCGCAATATTATAGTTAACCCACGATTTTAGTTATAAAATGATTTTCTGTTTAGTACACTGTTTTTTTGTATTATGATTCTTAACTGACAGCAAATAAGAGGAGGTTATTTTTTTGTTCTAATCATTTTTTTAATGACCTTAGTTTGGAGATAGTTTTGATCATAGCATTAGTTTTAAGGAAAAATGAAATGACTAACTGACCAACTACGGTGCGTAAATGAAAATCGGATACCTCTGCAAGTCTTACGCCAGTTAGTAGGTAGTAACATATTTAATGAATTAAGCTTCCATCAAACAGGCGAATACCCATCATCAAATCAATTATGCGACTTAAGAAAAATACATAAATATTCAAATGCATTTTAATTTGAAAAATTATAATGTACAAAAAGAGGTAAAACGGCAATTATACAATAAATATACTTTAATCACAATATTTAATCAATCAAATTATTTAATTCTGTTTTATACCTTACAATAAAATGTTCCCAAATAATAATATGCGTCATCAGTGTCAGTCAAATAAATAATTTACTTAAAATTATTCTCGCATTTTTTTTCGATAAATGGCAAAAGTACTACATCACTAGGGTGTCTTGCCGATCCGCCTATAGAACAATACAGGTCGCGTGAAATGCTTCCTTATTTTGAAGGTTTTAAGGTCGTATCACTTGTAATGTTACTAAAACATTATAAGTGACGTTTAGGATTTATAATCAATAAATCTTGTGGGATAAATTAGCGTAAGCTTTTTTATAATTGTAATATTATTGTAATATTATTCATCGTTAAATTGTAAAAATATCTGAGAAGATTTACTTGCAGAAATAAATGTCATTTCATATCATCATAAGCGACAACGAAAATCTTTTGATTTACCGTTGATCGCACTTCTAATGTTTATTCACTGTTCTGAGGTAGTATATGACATACGTAGTTTTTCGTTGTTAGATTGTTTTAAGGAAATAATTATAAAATAACTAGCTCATGTAATGTAAATTTTTCAGCAGGCTGGTTTCCATAGCATAGGCTCTGTCTAGTTTGGGATTGAACTGACGTGTGTGGGAATGTAAAGTTATTATTAAAAAAATATATACTTAAACTAGCTGACCCGACAAACGTTGTATTGCAAAACAAAAAAAAATTAGGGATAGGTCACCCTTACCATTTAGGGGTATGAAAAATAGATGTTGGCCGATTCTCAGACCTACCCGATGTGCACACAAAATTTCATGAGAATCGGTCAAGCCGTTTCGGAGGAGTACGGGAACGAACATTGTGACATGAGAATTTTATATATAAGATATTTTTTAAAGTGTCACAGCGTCACATGTGTCATCATTCATCATCATAATGAATAACAATAAACTGCGTTTTATTGTTTAAAGACATCTCCCGCACTAGGAATATAATCTGTGTCGCGGGGGACTTAACAAACATACATGAAACGGACACAATGAACACCCAGACTCATAACAACAATTTGTGGATCACACAAAGTGTTGTCCCATGTGGGGATTGAACCCACAACACTCAGCGCAGTCGGAAGCGGCGAGGTGACCGCTTAAACCACTACGCCATCCGTGCAGTCCAGTGTGTTCTTTGTTTCTTAATTTTCCACCCTTAAGGGTGGTATTGTTTTTCGAATTTCAATGGAAATATTAACGAGAATTTAGAACATTTATTATCTAAAATAACTAAATAATCTTACTCATCGATTAATAAATAGCGAAATTTTGATGTAACAAACAATTACAACCGCATTGAGATCCTCCTCCTTCTTCTGAAGTAGTAGTCTTTTGTTTATGATATAGGAAGCAACCGATTAGACGGGTCTCCTGATGAAAAGTGACTAAAGCCGCAGTGTTGCATGTCTTTGAGATAGTTGAAGGTTGTGTTCGTACTTTCACGAATTTCGCCAAGCTATAGAGAGTGCAAAAAAATTTGAAATAAATATGTACATAAATACGGTCGTGGGTGTCGTAAGAGCCGACTAAGCAAACTACTTGCGACAACAGCACTGTAAAGAGAAGGACAATTTGATACAAACCCTATAGGAACCCGTCTAGCCAGTGTTGTATAGTAAGGCCATAACCTCCTTTCTAAGGAGAGGCCTATGTCCAGCAGTGGACTACTAAACGCTATTGATGATGATGATAATGTTACTTTACCGCCAATTGTTGTACATGACTATGCTCAATAAATTATTATTTGACCTAAAATCAACATTTCACTGGAGTTCAAAGGTAAAAACACCATTGAGCTTATCAAATTCCGGTGACTTCAAGTACTCCATACATATAATGTTTCACAAATTTGCAATTTGTTTAAAGTTTTTTTACAATGTTTATTAGTGCAGAGAGGAGTCTCAGTCACCGGTCGTGTGATTAGGTAACGCTGTGCAGGCGCAATGGACGTGTTAGAGTCGAACGAGTTTACTACTTGCATACTTGTACTGGGTTGCAGTGAATGTAATTTTGGTGTTTGCTAGGTTTGTAAATTACGTGTCATTGACTAATTTCATTTATGTATTATTTCATGTATTTTGTCATTGGTTCTGTGTCTGGGTGTAATTTATCTATAATATGTATCTATTTAAAAAATATATAAGTATGTTTATCAGCAGTCTGGTTACCATAGCACAGGCTCTGCCTAGTTTGGGATCAGACGGCCGTGTGTGAGGTATATAGTTATAGTTTTATGTTTGTAAGGTCCCCCGCGACACAAGATATTTTCTTGATGCGGGAGTTGTCTTTAAAAAATAATAATAAAATAATTTATTTATGTACACTCTATGCATACACATAGGCTTAGTGTATTTTTCCACAAGGCCTATTTAATAGCGTTTTTAAACTAAGGAATAGTTTTTAAAAGTAACCTTATATCGACATCATATTAATATATCTTAAGCTGTATGTACACCATAGCCAAATCCATGAAGTAAAAGGTTCTTGATCCACCTGGATATTGCCGTTTTAAGATATAATCCAAATTATTACCAGTTTGAACCGTCAGCCGATAAACACGACAAAAAACTTCCCAGCTTGTTTTCATAAGAAATATCTCAGTAAACATTTATGAAGTACGGTACTAATTAAACTTGGGTTAACAGACAATTATACACAAGCTTCCAGATAATTTCAAAATATTAATAGTTAGGTGTACTGATGGGAAACAGTGCACTTAACCGCCTTCCTATTAAGTAGTAATTACACCCTCGGAAGCCATTTTGACTGGTTATGCACTTTAAGTTACGTAATTTACATTGTTCATAAACAGTGATCATATTTACAAAAATAATAGTCACAACATAAGATATACAAAGAAACTCGGTATAACGTAACATAAGTAAAACAACGTAAAACTAGGTATAACATAGGTTTTAAGCTTTGAATTTATGTAGTACATACCATACTGGCTGGCTTTTTTTTTAAATTTGGAAATTTAAGCAACTAGAGCTCATTCTTATTTCAAATAATTTTAATAAAACATTAATTAAAGAAATATATTTGTAACAAGTTTATAATCACAAATATTAACCCACCAAACTGCGAAACAGTTTGTCGTCGGGAATTCCTACATTTTGAATTATGGGTTTGATTTTTTGTTGTAGTTATATTAACACAAAATCTTTATTAGTACTCGTATTATATACTTGATTACTACAAAGGATCTTATATGCTTTTTGTACATATCTGAATGAGATAAGTTATTGTTAATTTTTTGCATGTTTTGTGACTCGGTTTTTGTTTTGTATAAACCATTGTGTATAAACAGCTTAATATTTATAAACTTTAAAGCCATTATAGATTTAATTACATAGTTATACTAGTAATGCTGTCTTGGTTTTTCCAAAGTCAATTGTAGCGAAGTCACTAGATGGATCATCTCAGATACCCATTAGTAAGCAGGAATCATTAGGTTACCCAATTGCTCTTATGCCATAGACGATGGTGTAGAGGTCGTGATTGCAAACGGATAAAGGGGAGTTCCGCTAAACGTAACATTGCAACCACAACGAACTGATATAAATGTAAACATAAACTATAAACAATTTAAGTTTTAAGCCCAATGGATTATTATACATGTCTTAAAAAGACAGATATTGGTGCTAATTCTGTTGTTGACATGTGGCAGTTGGCAGGTGACAGGACTAAACTAATTTATAGTGACTTTTAGTTTAGTTTAGAGAGTTTTCGAACCGTAAGCACCGTTGCCTCAATATTGTTTAATGTTGCAGGTAGTCTAAAAATATATTTAAAACGTGTTATTTAAAGTTTTCATTAGAGTACATTTTGTCAGTCTGGGAACTGAATTTCTTTTTAATTTATGTAGGACGTCATTGGATATCTGGCAATTGGTGCAGATACATCGCATGATATTGCAACGGATTTATGACAAAGAAGAACACACAGAAATCATTCAAATAGATAACCTCCTTTTTTGTAAAATTGGTTATTTAAAGGAATGCAATCGCATATTTACAAACTTATGATTATGTAGAAAAAGAAAAGGCTTCTTTTTTGGCATCTATTATTGTTTTATATACTCATAATACTACAAAAATCATTATGTATCAATCAATAAGGCTTTCATCCTGAACATTTAACTTTATTGTCGATAACATTGTATTTTTTTAAGGAATACTGAACAAAGGCAAACTGAAATAAGAGACTTTATGTAAATCTATTATGTGTACTTAACACTTAACAAATATGTCATGTCTAGAGGAAAGATTTACATAAAATTATTATCAATAGAAAATCGAATTAAAGAAATCACACCTTTAATCCTTGAGGTGTTGTTTAATCACGAAATTAAAGATCATATAGACAAGCAGTCGCGAACATTCGTGTAACAGGCCTCGCATGCAACGCTACCGTATGCAGTTGCGAAAAATACAGATAAAATAAACTTACTTTTTTTGAAAAGAAAACATTGTGTAAAGAAATAACTGTGCCACGAAAATGACGACCTTCGCACATTATGTGTTTCTTGTGTTATGTGTTTTTGTTTACGGCAGCTGGCAATTGGTGCCTTTGCGTGAGTTTTTTTTTAATAATGATGCTTTCTTACTAATGCTATATTTTGAATTTCAAATTAGAAAACCATCATCACTTTAAAAATGACAACCAAATTCTGTAATCTTTTCAATTCAAACCCTTCTCAAAATACGATAACTATTAAGGCAATTAAAGAATAAATCAATTCAATAAAAAGGAAAAATCAGCCAATTCTTAATTCAGGTCAGATAATATTATTCGTTTGGAAGTAGTGTGTTTAGATGCAATTTTCTGCAACCGCTCTCCGTTTATACTCAAGGCCGCTGTTCGGTGTCTATTGACTGTACTTCTTTCTACATTCGTAGGCACACCAATTAAAGTGTCATTATTAGTTTTACCTAGTTACCAATCTTATAAAATATAAAACCATATGTAATATAGTTTAGATTCTCGAATGCTGAAAATGTCACTGGGCCTATAGCCCTTACAAATAAAACTGAATGTAACGCTTAGACGGAGAAATCAATACAAAATTCACTGCATGAATGGGTTAACAGTGAACACAGTTTTTTTACAACAAAGGTGACAGTTGATCCTCCCTTTATAGGACTCCATATGCACTTCTTTTTTTTAAAAGTCTATATGCACTTACAACAACAATGATGTAAGTTATGCTTTCAAACGTATTAAACTTATTACATGAAGCTCTTGTAACTGTATGTAAGTGTAAGCCCCGTGGGTGTAATTGACAAAAATCTGCTGTGCCTTCGTATGAATTATGCTTTCAATAAAAACAATGTTTTGTTGAAACTGAAGCGACAGAACGTCCTGCATCTTGATAAATGAGTCCGAATTTCTCAAATACATACAGCATTAATGACTAATATATTTAGATATACAAAATAATTATAAAGATTCCATTTTTTTACGTAATATAATTATACTTTTTACAACTAGTGTTAACATAATGATAATGCAAATTCGGACTTGCAATGAAAAGTTGACAAGTTAGAACCTTATCACACTAATAAACACAACGCTAATAAAATACACATAATTGCCTAAATATGTATATTACTTGAAAATATATAATAATCACATAAAGAAACATTTATATATGGATCTTTAAGTAATCAAGAAATTAGGTACAATAATAAATATGCGTCTATCCACCATCTCATTTGACGGAAATGATGATAAAGATATAGACGGCGCATATCTATTTACTATATATAAATAATACAAAATTGATTCCAAATAAAACAAATTAAGAACACAATTAAATCAATTGTTTTTTTACAAGGATAAATCAAATATCACAATGTCACAGAAGGTGCCCTTATGTTTTTTTCCTCAGCTGACGGTCATGCCCATTTAAATGGGTAACTTTGAAATAAATATATATTATAGTTTCCATAATAGAATACTAAGTACTCCTACAAATTGTTTTTTTAGAAATATACTTAATGTGATACGATGCGTTGATTGTCATGAGACATGAGTGTGATAAACGACTTCACAGGGATATGAATCCCGCGCTGTGAAGTCATGTATCACACTAATGTAATAATAGCGAAAGTTTGTGAATGTGTGTGTTTGTGAAGAAGTAACAAACATTGTTACTTCTTCACTCTCAAACCGCTTTACCAATTTGATAAAATTATGGATTTCATCATCATTATGGAGGTAGCGAACACTCTGGATTACAACTAAGGCTACTTTTTTCCCGAAAATATGTAGTGTTAACGAGTGATGAGCAAGGAATTGAATTAACCGCGGGGCGCATACATACAAACCTAATATCAGCAAAACGAAATTTACACATTTTTGTATCATCATATTGCTATATAAACACCTAGACTGGAATGTGATGAAATTTTTTACACTACTGACAAATGACCTTAACCGACCAAAGACGAAACTCTATCGTAATATGCAGAACATAGTCATTTAGTAAGTACTGAATATTACCCGTAGTTAATATAGACATATAAATCTTTATTATAATGAAGATAAAGAGTTTTTTGTTAGGTTGTTTGGTGTGACGTACTGATGTCTGGAACTATCAGTCAGATTTGGATAATTCTCTTAGTAGTCCAAAGAGTATTTATTTGGGGAGCTTATAGATAATGTAACATCACGCTACCACTTAAAGAGGAAGCAGTGAACATAAACATAAGTTTAACTTTGACATAAGGGTCACGAGTGCATTAGCTGGGACTACCATTAGCTGGTTTGTCTGGATGGAAGGGGGTTTAGCCTCCGGTAACAACACCGGTTTCTTCTGAGACCGTGGCATCACTCTGGTCGAGCCGGCCCGAAACTGCTCTTGCTTGTACAAAAACATCGATCGTCATGAGCTGATTAAACTTAAACTTTATAATTTAATTAACTACTGATCGTTGTGTTTGTGGTTCGATGTGGAAGTGCTAATTATAATTCAGTTCCTTATTGTTCATTAGTATTCTTAACTGTAACTGAGAAACCTGCCAGTAGTTCACGTATAGGTTTAATGGACTTACTTGTAGTATGAACATTGCAGTTATTTTTTTTCACCAAGTTCTTACTGTGTATCTGTTTTATTTGTTTTGGATACGAACTCCTAATGTGTATTATATTAGGAGTTTGTATCCAAAAGTTTGGATTTATGTTAATACTATCACCTTCATATTCTTTATTGTACACTCAAATAATAAGGAATGTACACAAGAAGGAACAGAATATGTACGTGTATATGAGTTTTCTGCCACCCTGAGAGTGAAGAGAGGGTAGCATAAAAACAATAGAGGCAGAGTCATGTGTATTTAACAGTCAACAAACATAAAGAACTTGAAAGAATCTATTCTAATATTATATAGCTAAAGAGTTAGTTTGTTGGTTTGGTTGAAGCGTTAAACTTAGGAACTACTGGTTCGAATTGAAAAAAAAATGTGATAGATCGTTTATCCAAGATAGGCTACGCTGAGCATCAATGAGAAATGTTGCAAAAACGGGAAAACATTATTATCTTTGATAGACGCAGGCAAAGTTTTGTGGGTCAGCTTTTCATTAATATCGCACCTATAGGGGTGATAGACTAGATCGACGAATTTGAATAAAAAGTACCAAATTTTTATTCGTATTCGCATAAAAATCAGTTCCGAGGAGAGTAATTGCAAATAAAACAGCCGAATTGGCGCGATGATGAGTAACCGCTTCTACGCGTCAGGATCTAGTCTATCTCATCACACCTGTAGGTGCTATATTAATGAAAAGCTGACCCGCAAAACTGGTGGTGGTGGTCTACTGTAGGTGAAAAAGTTAGGAATTATCTATTAATTAATCACAATGTAGGCATATTCAGCTTGGTTATATTTTTCTTGTAATTGATTTTCGAATCTCAATTACTTCTGTCTAACAAAGTTCTTCACTGTCTTTATAGCCGATTACATCCATCCCTGTTCGGAGTCAACCGACGAATGCTTCACGAAAGCAACTTTGGATGCGATTCCCGGAATTGTGAAAGGAATTCCTGAGGCCGGCATCCCGCCGCTGGACCCGTTGTTAATGGACCGCAACATTAGCATGACGCTGCCCGGAAACTTGAAAATGACCTTCATAAACGCCAAGTTAATTGGATTAAGCACATGTATTCCGGATAAAGTGTCGTAAGTACTTTCATAATACTTTAATTCAAATTAAATAATTAAAAATAAAAATAACTTGTCGTACCTGTTTTTCCGTTGATTCATTGATATAAGGAAGATAATAGCTATATGATTTGTGGTAAAAGATACCGGATTTCATCAATTATTAAGACATATCTTATTTCTCAAGGCATACCCTCTCTCTTCGACTCGAGGTTCTTCCGAATCTGATGGAAATCTTAGTTTTAGATCGTATACATATAGTAGGCTTGCATTTATTGTCTTACCTAATTTTAAATGTAAAAAGTAATTTTCTCGCGATGATATGAGTAAGAAAATCTTTGAAATGTTGCTTGTACGTCTTCGAAATTTGGCTAATCGCGGTTAATATTAGTTAAAACCAAAACGTAAATACCAAACGTAATAACCAAAATAAGAAAATATGCAATTACTTACTAATTTAAAATATTATAATTTTATTTTTAAACTTAAATTATTATAGTACCTTTAGGAACTATAATAATCAAAATTTTCCATTCTATTTATATTTTAAATCAGAACATGACTGTTTGTTAAAAAAAACATTTATTTGTTATTCATATCTATTGCCTTGAAATAGGTCAAAAAGTTCCGGATTTTCTTAGTGGTTCGTAGTTCTTTTTTCTGTATCCTATTTCCTAATTGATATTATAGATGTGACTGTGAGTTTATTATAGTCCATCAACGTCGTGCGCGACCGTCCTGCGGGGTGACAGACGGTGGCGGGGACGAGGTACTCAAGATGTCATCGGGTAGCAAGTGGTTTAGCGGGGAAGGGAATCGTGTGTAGCCGTGTGCTAGAATGACGCGCTACCTCGCCCCCGCCACTGTCTGTCACCCCGCGGGACGGTCGCGCATGAGATTGCCGGGTTATAGTTCCGTGTTCCACTTTAACTACTCAACCGAACATCATATTTTTTATACAAGTAGTCAATGATACACAAAACGATATAGGGTAGCTTTCAAGCAGATAAAGGAGATTTTTTCCCCAAAGGTGAAAGAAAATCTCCTAGACGCATGGTGGGTATCGGGCTTAACAACATCTATCCTAGACGGGTCTGTTGATCTAGTGGTAAGCGTTCCTAACTGCGGAGGTCGTGATTTCGTTTTGTATCTGGATGTTATTCATTTATAGTACAGTAGTATAGCTTGTATATCTATTCTCATAAACAAGCTATATTACTGTAAAGTTTCATTAAAATCCATAGCGTAGTTCTTGCGTGAAAGAGTAATATTAGTGTTTGTAATATTAGTGTGATTTACTTTGACTTTTATCTGACCTGTGAAAATGCTAGTATATATAGGTAGTACATATATACATAGTAGACATGAAAAATATATCTCAAACTATCAACTAACTGCAATAATATCATCTACAAACGTTACGAAAACTCATAAACGCTCACAATCTATGTAGTGTCTAGTTTCTTAACCTCTTGCAAAACTCAGTGAGTGGAGGACCTTAGTCAACCGTGTTTATGTCTGTAAAGCTAAAACTGGTATATATGTTCGACATATTACCTATTTCACGTTGGACACTACATTGATCCCAAACTATCGAACATATGTAGGATATGAAACTTACACAATTTAACATCGATTTTCTCTTTATGGCGTTAAAAAATCTTGGGCACTTTAATTGGATTTTTGTGAATTATACTAATTTAAGTTGTATAAGTCTTCGTATTTCTTAATATATTCTATAGAATTTGAGTTATACTTTCTTGTTTTCAAACTTCAAAGATAACACACAAATGATGGGCCTGTTAGTGTAGTGCTTAGCGGTCCTGACTGCAAAGTCTTGGATGAACAATTGTGTAATCAGGCAAGAATATTTATTTGTTGTGTCTGGTTGTATTTTACCTAAAATATGTATGTATTTAGAAATATATTATAAGTATATCGGTTTATCAGTAGTGTGCTTACCATAATGCAGGCTTTGCCTAGTTTGGAATCAAACGGCTGTATGAAATGTGTCAAGTTATAATTATTATTTTTTAATGGTGGCAAAAAATCTTAGAGGAAGCATTGGTATTATAAAAGAGAACCATTTAAATCGATACCATGGCTATAGGTGATATTAAACTTTGTTATCCTCGTCAACCTTGATCCTGCTATAACATATAAGTTGGATCTATAAAACTAGCTATAAAATAACATTGCATTTTATGGTTAAGCTGCCCTATCATCGTAGGTAGCATGACCCTACATAGTGTTAACGTGTTCAAAAAAGGACTAGTCAATGAAAAGACTTAGAATCAGAATCAGAATCACTTATGTATGAGACTAAGTTAAGCCTTATTTGTAAATTACAGATTTCAAATATTCTTCAATCATTAACAGCTTTTAAAAGTCTACTGCTGTACATAGGCCTCTCCTTAGAAAGGAGGTTTTTTTCAAATGTAGGTTAGTTTCAAAATTTCCTTCTCTTTTTGCAGTGCTGTTGTTCTGAGTAGATTGCTCCCTTACTCGGCTCTCACGACACCCACAGGTTGTCACTCTGTATTCTTAATCCACACCACATGGATATTTCAGTTATTTCAAATATTATTATTGTATAATCATAGAAAATTTCGAAATCTGCTTTAAATGATCACTTAAAAATTTAATATTTTTCTATTACTCTTTAATTTTATCTAATGCTTTGGGTTTTCAAACTCTATGTATAAGGTACCAAAACCAAATATGTGGATAGGTTTATATTAACAAGTGTTCAGGAATTAATTATATCTATATTCGTAAATAGTTTAATAGTCATGAAGCAACATTACGCACATAAGTAAATTACTTAAACTAAATTAGTTTGATCACGAAACCCCATGATATAAAGCCTCGATTTCACATAACATACATACAATTATCAGATAATAAGTAGGCCAATATAATTAGTAGATTCTCTAATTACCTTTGTCATAGAAAAAAAAAACGAAATGAATCGTATTCTTCTACTAACAAAAACAAACAATTATCTTTTAAAAAAGCATCATGATTCAGGTTCTTCAACCATTCCCGGTGAGTATCTGCGTAAATCGGTAGGTTACGCGACCGTCTTCTCTGTCTAACCAAGCTTCAAGGTTAGGTAGAACGACATTGACAACTGCACCAACGCCGCTGAGCGTTCCGCCGCATTTTTATTCCATCCTGGACGTCTTCAATGTCACCTACGAGTAAACACACTGAACTACTAATCACGGAGGATTAGTAACTACACCGTAGTTGAGTATATCCTATATACATCGTCCGAACCAGAGGATCACTTCGTCTGGTCGGAGGATCCTCCCTTGATATTAGAGGGACGTAACATCTATGAACTCTGGCATTAAGACAAAATGTCAATTATATTATAATTCTGGTATTGAGTTTAACACTGGAAGTCTAGTTAACAAACTGCTGTTACAAAATACCGTCTGTGATAAGGAAATCCTTCGAAATATGATTGAACCTTTGGTAGAAATGAAAGTTTATTTAATTATGATAATTTACCTTCCGTTACCTTAACACTAACTGATATTTTAAACTGAAACCGACACGATATAAAGTCATTAATACACATACCGTTTCTAATAAGGTAATTAAAATTCAATAGGCACTAAAGACTAAAACACTTCACAACAAGCCTTCTTGAATCTATCGAAACAAAAGATTAGTTCACGATTATTGAAGCCATGTTCCATATGACAAAGCGCAATTATTGTTCAGGTCTGTCTGTTGTTTCTCTTTGTCTCTATTGGATGCCGTAATATCAACTTGTATGCAATTTAGGCAAACTATCTGCCTGTATACAGGCGTTATTTTTTTATTCTTTATGCACAAAAAGTGACAAAAGTAGACTTCATGGCGTAGGTATTTTCTCAATTTTTTCAATCACAAACATTTCAAAAATCGTTGGCACTTCAAACTATTCTTGTAGACACATGTCCCTGACGTAAAACAAAAGCCTTCATAAATCAAATCAGTGAAACTGGTATCTACAACATCGAGTTAATATCACCCCCCCCCCTCCCCCTCCCGTCCCTATTAACTATTAGGTGTTCTAAACTTTTTCTGTCTCTCCTCAGCTCACGTCGCAAAATCCGTACATTCATCTTCGACATACACTGCAACTTCACGATCCGTGGCGAGTACAGTCTGAATGGCCGTCTACTTCTTTTCAATCTGGACACCGATGGACAGGCTAAAATCAAAATCTGTAAGCAATACTCTTTATTTTCATCACATTTAAAATTTTATAATTTAATATATATTAACTTATAATTGTCAGTTATACGAGTATAACAATGCTAGAGGAAGAATCTTTTTTAAAACTGAAAAATATCTCCTACTTATTTTGGCACACACCTATGTAGATCTAAGGTAGCTGAGATATTTATAGCTATGTTTAAAAAAATATCAGGCAGAAATAATTACAAGACATAAACTACAAAATCGTCACTATTAAGCTTACACAAATAACTGAGTTATGAGTAAATGCTACTATTTGGAATTTACTCCAAACAACTACAGTAAAAACGTTTTGACACAAAGAATAACGACCGGAATAAGAAAAAAAATGACAAAAACTACAAAAAAACAACATAACTTTACTCTTAATGTTATTCATTTTGTTGTTTTATTTGGGACAAAATTAAATTGGTGACGTATCTTAGATCGCTGATATGTCTAGATCGACTGTCAAAACTGGGAAAGGATTGAATAGTGACCAACTGTTGGTCACTAAGTTACTTCCGCTGTCGTTAGTTATCGAGACATTTTGACAGCACATATTTTCATTAATTAGTCACTTTCAGTGAGGTACCCTTATTTTTCTCTTTCTCACAGACAACCAGCGCATCCACCTGGAGGTAGCTGAACGAGTGTTAATAAACGACAAGAACGAGGGTCACTACAAGATCAACTCATACAAGTACAAAGCTGATTATGGGACAGACCTTAAACTGAATCTCACAAACTTAATTAGAGGAAATCCTCTATTCAGTAAGTTCATCAAAACGATGATTTATAATACATTCGGCTTTTTAGATCTATTTTATTAATATATTGGACTAAGATGGTAGAAGTCTTTCCAGAAGAAACCTATCCATTCCGTTTCCATCCTCTTGAACGTTCTAAGACTATGTTTGTAAACTAAATATATGTAGTGTAAAACAAACGCACGCAATATATTCTAGACTTTAGTGACTCGAACAAAAAAAATCTCAACAGTGAACAGACAGAAGTTCTATCCTTTTATTGTCAAGACAAGAAACAAAATGCATCTTGTATCTGTCATGTACATGTACATGTTGTCAGAGAGTCTGTGACAGGTAAGATACATACTACAATCAATTTGCGACATAAGGCCGAGCACCTATGAAAATTTCTTACTTAGGCATATATTTAAAAAAATACATCTAAAAACGAAGTACGGACGATAAGTTGGTGTCTTCTGTAGAGTTTATATACTTTTCCATCAAAAATCTACTGTGTCGTACCTCGCATATAATTAATTGGTATAACTGCAAACGAAAATCATGAAATTAAACACTTATGTTTTACCTAATGGATAGTTTCGATGAAGATCCTTAAAAGATTCTAGAGTGCACTCTAATATTGCAAATATCTATAGGTGTAAACGCAGGTGACCAACAAATATACGGCTCTACCTTGAAAGATTGTTACAAATAATTAAAGATTCTGCTCATGACGGCGTGTTACATTCCCTGATGGGTAATGGCACAATGGACGGTTGAAACGTCACTCACTAGCCCTGACAGTATTGACACAAGGTCTGCTTCGATATTCGTTATAGATATTTTATGCAAGTGCCGTTTTGTCCTGTTTTCATGGCAATTTCAAGTGTTGACATTTGGAACTATTGTAAAGTCTACGTAATCTTGCGTTAGGTATTCAAGATTTAAAAAAGAAGGGCAAAGTTAAAACTGAGCCTATAAAACGTTTATCCTACAAAAGAATAGCTAGGTATAACCAAGTATTCAATTTTTAGTTCTTTTTCGCTAAATCAACGGTGGTGAGACAGCATCGGTATTGCTGTCTTAAAATGCATCGGTGTCTGATCACCATCAGGCGTTAAAACACTTTTTCTCAAGTTACTGATAAAAAATAAAGATAGGAAAAAATTTACACTTCAATACGATCAGGCAGGCAGACAAGCATCGCATAATAAAGCCCGATTTACATATTTATTAGAAGTCGTGAAAATTTTAAAATATGGAGAATGTTTAAATAAAAACAATTTTGCATTAAGCCATAGATAAGTTGCAATTATGTGGCAACTGAACTAGATACAATATTAATTATTTGCAAATGATATTACTTTATAAAAAAAACTTGAAAACAAGGCAGCAGAACTAGCAGAACTATAAAACCTTGACCCAGTGTGCTTGCCTCATCTGTAATCCAAATATTAACCACAATTCAATGTCAATGTTCGATGCTTATGGTTTTTTTAAAACAAGGTCGTATTTGTAAGAACAAACACTTGTGAGGATATCTGCGAAGTCACAGTACATATTTACAGGTCTTTTCTGAGAAATCAAAGTATTTTGAGTCACTAGAACTCAGTTTCCTAAAATATGGATAAGAAAGAAAATAACAGTTCTCTCCTTCAGGTTAGAAATAAACGAAAGGCGTATTTGGCTTTCCTCCAGTTAATTCGAAATCCAATTCGTCTCAGTCTATAATACCTTGAAAACCTCAGTATTTCAACAAAAAAATAATAATAAAAGGAACTCATTCTCGAAAATAATAATTATACAGTAATAGGCGTTGTAGTAAAACTTTTGCCAGCACCGCAGACGGTTGGCTGTATTATTCAGTTATTTATATTATGTACCTAATATTTAATTACTGTATGGTTTTAAATTTCTTACAATTAAATTACATAATACACACAGATGCCATTAGAACTATGGTTACATAAGGATATGTAGAATTCTGTAATCACTTTATTGTCATTTACTTTAGTAATGTACTCTAAGCTGCAACTTGGTCATGAGGCCATTTCATTATAACACCGACGCTTACAAATTATAAGTCTGTAATTATAAGGCACATTAATTTAAATATGACTACTTAAATATTCTTCCAGGTGCTCAAGTCCTGCAAGTCCTGAACGCAGACTCACAGGTTCTAGCCAAAGACTTCGGAGGTCCGATCCTGGATTACGCCATCGATTACATGATGAACGTCACGCAAAAGTTCTTCAATACTTACACCTACGATCAGATCTCATATATACCGCTGGGTGAAGAATTCTTTGAAAAAGAGTAGAGTATATTTAGATTTATGACATATTTTGTAGGTATTTAAATAGATGTGTAAGGGCTAGATTAAATTAGCTGACGTATTCTGCATGCGAAGGTTATAATGGATGGGCTTCGTCTAGATCAAAGAGATTTTTTGTGTATTAGGCTTAGGCCTTAGGCTTTGCTGGTTACTTTTAATTAAATAATAATTGTTAATATTAATAACGATTTGTTTAAAATTAAAAGCAATTCAATAACATACTACATGTTTGCACGTTAGTCGACATCAGGATGTGTACATTAGAAATATTGTATATTTTACATGAGAAATTTGTAAAAACATGTTGTGTTTGTATTTAAAGCTTCGATATTTAAAATCATATTTATTATTTTCTTGAAATATGCGAAAAGTTTGATTTATTAAAACATAATGTACTGTTTAAGTTAAAATTGTATAAAATACTAAATAAAAGTGTAGGCTTCCGGTAGTATTTTGACCAGTTAGGATTTAATAGTTTATTTCACGACTGGTAAAGTTATACTGATCATGATACAAAAGAAGACCTTCAAGTCAGGAATTGCAAAACAAACAAAAATGTTACAGAGATAGCTTTCGATTTACCACCGTCTACTAAGGCCATTTTATGTTAAATTTAACATAATTTACTTAAAGGTAACAACTTTACTACTTAATTGATTTAACTAATGAAAAGGTATTAATTACTTAATAAACTTTGTAAAAATAGGTATTGTTATTATTATTGATAGCAAAAGACTAGAAGTGAATCTAAGAATCATAAGGACTAATATGTACCATTCGTTCAAACATCAGTTTTATGGCATCGAATATTAAACATTAATTGGCATCGAAAATTGTGTAAATAATTATTCAAACAACGATTTAAGACATAGTAATGGTGAGTGTATAAATGAATAATAGGAAATAGTACTAGAAACAGTTTCATTAACCATAGAAACCTTTCTAGTGGCATGAAGACATCGAATGAGGTTCGTATCGGTACCGTATTATGGTGTATTGATTATTGCAAACCCTACTTACTTTTAGACAAATACCACAAGATATTTTATATACATTTACATATGTATAGGTATACACATTCAGGCCTGTATCACCAAAAAGGTGGGCAGTTGCCAGGGGCGTATTAAGCTTGTCTGTAAGAGATCGCCGTGAGCGCTAATTGTTACGTCTACATATTTGTAACTAATCTTTATTTGTGGTAATTGTATACAATAAAGATATAAAAATAAATAAGTAATAAATAAATAAATAACAATTTTTACGACCTATAATTTGGTCAAGGTTATAGTAACTACACGTATGGCGTGGTGGTTTAAGCCACCAAGCCGCTTACTGTACCGAGTGTTGTGGGTTCGATCCCCGCATGGGACAACACTTTATATAATCAACAAATTGGTGTTATTAGGAGTGTTAGCAATTTTAACTGGAAATGGCTGTTGCCACGTAGTGCAAGTTCTCTCACACTGGTTATTTTTAGGAAGACAACCTTCCAGGTATAATTTAAATTATTAAAGTATAATTTAAATCGAGCCAAGATACATGTATTACTTCGGTGTAGTGTATAGTACTTAAGACTTAATAACTAGTAGGTTTAGCGTTTTATTATGCGGTAAGATTCTTTTATGTAATTATAAAGTTTTATATGTATTAAGATAAACATGGATCGAGTAATAAATTGATATTTTCTTGCATTTTCTTTTTGTTTTCTAGCCTTTCTATGCGCCAAATTTTATCCAGATCTGTTCAACCGTTTTTGCGAGAAAGAGTAACAAACATCATGCATCCATTCAAAATTTCGCCTTTATAATATTAGTAAGATTGCACACTAGTGTGTACAATCGTATAAATATTATATGTATATATATATATATAAGTCACAAAGATGAGCTCATGCACAAAGGCGAGCTTAACCCAAAACTGAGTTTTCTTCCAGCAAACCTTAATTGAATAGAGGATAGCAGAGAGAGTAAGAACATAGTCATGCGTACTTGGGAATCAGTAGAGCAAAGTATATAAATCAAACAACTACCGACATTAATTTGTAAATCTGTACATATAAATACATACATACAACATTTATGCAAAATTACAGAACTCTTCTTGGGAATGCTATCATGTTCAGGGAGAAAACAAGAAGATAAAAAGTAGTAATTAATATTGACTAAGCGGGGGCCGAGATTTTATGAGCTCGAAGCGGCCTTGGTCGCGTACCCATAGAAGCAGAAGATGCTTGAAGTTTGGAAGCGATCACGTCGTTATATGAAAATGAAAATTTACCCTGGCCTTTATTTCAAAAAGAAGGAGACACGATAAATTTATAGTTTAAGTAAAATTGCTTAACCAGATAACAGCAAACCTGTTATTTCCTATCATTACAAATATTAAGACCATGTTACTAAGGTGTGTAAATTCATAAACAAATGTTGCGCAAGCGATCCTCCGAGCCAGGTCTGTTACATCAAACCTAGGGTTTTCAATAGGCACGGCTTTCTGCAATGCAGCTGAAATATTAATAGCTCTGTTTTTTTATTCAATTTTTTATTAAACTTTGTGCACTATTCTCCAATATAAAATAATAACAATGAACAAATATTTTAAATAAGTAAAATATTTGACCTTCAATGTTTCTTACCCTATTTAATAGCCATGGGATTCTCTCTATACGACTCTCTCTCGACACCGAAAGTAGGCATTTTTCGACCAAGACACTCATTAAAGCAGCAATACTTTGCAGTCTCCGATGTATGATAAAAAGTCCCGATAGACGACTCTTTAGTGCCTTTACAAGCCTTAGACTGCTTTACATAAGTTTGTATAACGATTAATTGATGTGAGATAACTGGTTTTTTAAAAAAACCCACTAAAATGCAGAGCCTTATTTATAATGGCACACTTCCTTTTCCACTTTCATCCCCAAGCATACTCTAGACTAGAAACCCCAGAGAAATCGCCAGCGTATCCCTCCAAGGTAAACTTAACGAGGAACAGTGGCAGATGAGGCGAGGAACATCGGCAAGACGTGGATCGAAATTAAGCACAAGGCTCATAACCGATAGAGATGGAGACTTGCTGTTGACGCCACTAGAAAAAGAAAAGAAAAAAGAAAGTGAGTGGGTGAGTGAGTGGTTATGATATTTTGACAATAGGATTTTTTTTAGTTTAATAAATGTATAATTCTTCTATGGAAGGTACAAATAATAACTTAAGGCTATTTTATCGTATAGAAAGAGCCACCTCATTCGGTTCAGTGGTAAGGTGGTGACTGGAACTACCTAATTTTCGTCACGGGCTCCTAATGCTCAGGACCTGGGTATACCCTAAAAAGGAAAGCCATTTGGACCCTGGCAAGCTTCTCAGACTTACCGCATCCAATTTAGAAAAACTGGCCTTGGGCTAGAAAATCAAGAATAACAACAATAACTAATTGCTTGCTCTATGGAGCACAAATAAAAGCAGGTGTCCTTTTCGACATATAGAGAGACTTTATGTACGTCATGGTATCGTTAAAAGTCAAAATTTCATAACAACAAAGTGTTTCTGATGAATTACAACGTTAACAACGAGACTCATAAATTAATTACAACCAAAACAGCAACCAGCCCAATTAATATTTTCCACAATCAACTAACGATGCTCAGTATGATCTGCATCAAATATGGCCTTCGCCCACCTATACTACACTTTCCCTGTACATATTTGCAAGTACTCTCTGTAGATATAGCACGGGCTTTTCTTAAAACAACTACAAATTACAGAAGAGTATATTTTTTTGAAGTTACTTAAAAATCTGACCTAAAACCTTAACCTTAAACGTGCGAGATAAACTCGTAAAGAGAGGATTCCGTAAGAAGAATTTGCAAATGTATGTGTGTACGCGTAATTTAAGACAAGCTAATTATTGAAAAAACAAAACACCCGACTGCGTGAAAAAATCCTGTTCAGTTCAAGCTGCAGAGCGTATAATAATATTTGAATTTGTTTATTTTTTTTTGTTTTTCTTTTTTGATATAAATATGAATCTAACGACACCTCTTAAGCTAAAATTCAAAGAGCCGTCCAGGCCGCAGAATGTTTTAGCTCAATCAGTGCAAAACTTTTTTGATTTTAGCTACGTTTAACCGTTCACAAACCAAAATAACATTTTTATATACATATGTATATAGATTAAGACCCATCAAAAAGCCCTTTTGTTTGTTATATAATACGGTGCATATGTTTTTTTTTGGCAATGTTACCTAAAACATATTCAAAAATCGCTACACGTAATACCGTCGCATGAATTGAAATGTGTATTTCGACTTAATAGAGTTTAGTGGATTCAAAGTAAATTGACTGTGACAATAAAAGGACAGACGCACAAGTGATCCCATGAGGAATATGGTTCTTTGCGACTATACTATCTTAAAGAATTTTAATATTGTTGTGTGTCTTTGAAAAATAAATAGACCTATATCAACTAACTGCGAAGTCGAGCTCTGCTAAGCAAGTTAATGACATCATCAGCATTATTGTAAATTGTTGTCGTTCTAAAAAAGTTGAAGCACGTCCTTCAATAATCTGTAATCAGATGAGCCCGTGCTAGAGTTTGTTCTTCGAACATTACGAAAGCATTGTACACGCCCGCGCATTCACAGATTGAGCCCAATTTGTCGTAGTTTTAGTAATATTGTAAGTTATTGCGATGTGAATGTGATTGCGTAAACAATACTTACATGTTTGTTGTAATAGGCTCTAGAAACACTACTATGACGTACTGATATTAAAATGTTGATTGTAATTTTTAAAAATAAATTACACATAGACACAGAATAAAGATGGGCTCATCACACAGTTATTAGTTCTGGGTGAGAATCGAACCCGCGACCTCTGGCTAGCAGTCAGGATCTCTAACCACTAGGCCAGGTCTGTGTTTGATAGTGTGTTGCTGGTTCTAGAAAATAATATAATTCGTTATTAATCACCATACGTTACTGCTTCAGAAAAAC